AGTAAAAACAAAGTTTCTTCACCCAAAACAAAACTACAAACCAAAGAGAGGAAAGATCAACATGAAGTAGCCTCTTAACCTGGTTCGTTTTTATGGCGTGTGCATTTGCGAGCGAATTGGGAAACTTTCTCAGTCTATAAGGGTCGGAACAAATTGTATCCACCTATTCTGGAAGAGGAATACGATAGGTTGCAGACCAAGAGAGTCATTTCATTCTTCAGTGACATCTACTAATATCCCAACGGATCAAATGTGAGTAATGAGTCTTTTAAGCCCAAATTAAATGGCTAGCTGTTCATACATGTTCACATAGGCAATGTTAACAGAAGTCTTGTTTCCTTCTTCATGGCGACAACCTAGATATCTTAGGCGTAAAAGAATGTAACGAGGACAGAAGCCAAAGCACACAACTATATAAGTACTCAATATTGTTACTGAAAACAAGGTCATACATAATGATACAACAAGCGCAAGGAAGCTAAGTCCCAAAAGATGGGCACAACAACATTAGTCCTGCAACAAATTCATATAATGTTTTACATGAACAATGATTTGAGACGTTTAATGCACGAAAGTTACTGTGGAAGAGAAATTTTTTTTAAAAATCTAGATACCAAGAGTGCTCCCAAATACATAAGGTAAGAAATATAGATAGATAAATCTATTAATTTATTATCCTTTGCTTCAATCACAAAGGATCCTTTGCTTCAATCACAAAGGATCCAACATTGTGGAAACAATCTAAATGAAAAATGGAAACCGAATTATGCTTTTTTCACCCAAAAAAATAAAAAAATAAAAACACATGAAACCTTTGCCAATTTATTATTCTATGACCCTCACAAACCAAATAAGGACATTGCAGTGCAACTCAAAAAAGGCAACCTCAAAATCCCATGATCCGACCAGGTCTTATCTCGAAAGACATTGATCATTTCGAAGTCATTGTCAACTCTCTATCTCCCTTTCTAAACAGCAACAAATACACATGGTGGTTTATCCTTTTTATGACTCATTTGGATGTACTTTTAAAATAACTGAAATCGTTTTTAGAGAAAATATTTTTGGTTTTCAAAAGCACTTAAAGTGTTTTTTGCAAGAAGCATCAATTATGTGCTTCTTCCAGAAAACACTTTACGTGCTTTTTCAAGATTTACTGGCATTTTTACTAAGGATTGATTTTAAAAACATTTTCATCAAAATCGCTTTCAGTAATTTTAAAAGCATATCCAAACGAGCTATTAGAGTTGGTCAGAACAAACCCAATTATAAAAGTTCAGATGGATAATCGGCTAAAATTAATGTTCATGGAAGAAATTGGCCAATTATTAAAGTTTAAGAGGGAAATTAGCTAAATTTAAAGTTTAGTGAAAAAATTGGCAACTTCTTGCAAGTTTCGGGAGGAAATTGAGAAATCAACAAGTACATCTTAGTATATATAATTTATTTTGGCCTAAAAATATATTTACTATCTTTCTACTTAGGTTAAGACATGTATCTATCAAGTGACATATCAACTAGTTGATGAAAAATGAAACCCCAAATGAAATGATGCAGGTGCCTAGACGGTTGGTTCACGTGGCTATGCTCGAGACCAGCTTTAAAAGGTTGTTGTCGTGATTGTATACTAGTGTGTGCAATTGGCATTTTGTAGTTTGGTAATTTTATTATTTTTTTCAATAAATTAATTTTAAAATTTATTGTTTTAAAAATGTGAAAGAAAACTAATTAATCCTAAAAATAACCATGTAAAATGTGAGGATACTTCAATTATCATGAAAGTTAATTACTATTCTATCCTTTTTAAATTAAATTATTTCTTTTAAAATCTTAATTAGGGGAGGACAATTTTAAGTATTTCAAAAACTTCACCATTTTAGGGTGGCTTTCTACATATTGATGCAATGCTGTTCTTGAATTTTTAGTGCCCAAAGTGTAAAGGTACAATGAGATCCTTTTCAATACATTGTTTTTACACATGAAAAAAAAAAGTACAAATCTTATTTCTTTATTTGTGCAATTTTTGCTTTGGCTTAAGCATAATAGTTCACTTAAATAAAATTGTATAAAGAGAAAAATGTGCCACTTTTAAAAACCAAAACTAGCGTTGGGAGATATTTGAAGGAAGACTGGGAGAAGGAGATAATGGCTAGAATAAAGGTGAAAAAGGTATGCGTGTCTAGTTTGGAAAAAAGTATAAGAAATTTTATTTGAACTCATTTAGCTTATTTTTACATTCAACTTAAACTTTAAATGTGAAATATCTTTATTACTCTATTGCATAATTACCATCAAGTGTAAGATAAAATGAATAAGAAAAATAAGATTTATTAATAGACTCACAATCAATAACTAAACTCTAACCATTACGTAACTTTTAACGTGCGTTTTGTTCTGGTAAAAACCTTAATACGCTTTCATAAAGAAAAAAATAAGCTCTTTTCGACGGATGGAGGGTGATTTGAAATTTTTAATCCTCCAACTAAAATATGAATTTATTTATGTGAGAGTTGAATTATTGATTTATATGTCATATACTAACATTCTGACTATTAGCCGTATAAGATTACCACCGAGTATTTGTTGTTCTTTTTGGACACCATTGACCAAGTCTTCTACTTCTTAATTTACATATAACCATTAAATCCTGCTTTTGTTATTGGATTACATATCAAACTGCTACTACTTAATTCGAGAGTCACAGTTAGATAATAGACAGCATTGATTAGCTGAGTTCCTCATGTCTGCTTTCATATATTAGTCTTGCAATCTAAATTCTAATTAGCCTAACCACCAACACCTACATTCTTTGCATCATTATTTTTGCATGTTTCCCAAATCTTTTCATTTGATTTTGGTTTTTTATTTTTTTAAATGGGTGTGATTTTGGTTTTTTATTTTTTTTAAATGGGTGTAAAGATAAATTTACATTCTTGAATTGGGTTTGTGAGGATAATTTAGGCAATAAATTTGGGTCTAATGATATATTGAAAGTTTAATTAAAAACAATACGGGTGTAAAGAATAAATTAGGTGTAGAAAGAGGTTCAAATAAAATTTTCCAAAAAGTATTTTGTTTAGTATGAAAAATGTTAAGAAGATTATATATTTAAATTATATTTATAGATCACATGATGTGGCTACTGAAGTGATTATGCCAACCACATCATTAAGCAAGATTTAAGATTTTTCTCAATTATTAGTTCTCAAAATTATTTATAATTTTAATTACACATGTAATCATGCAGAATCTTAAAAGCATTTAGATTTTTTTTTTTTAAATAAAAGCGATGAAGTGTTTCGTTACCAAGAATAATCAAATACAAGATTACAAGAGGTGTTAGATGAGTACAATTTCTTAATCTAGAGATATTTCGCACAAATACAAATGATTTTAAACCCTTATACAATTACCACAATAGACCATCACTACTTGACAAGCAAGAGTCCCGGGTAGATCCGTCAGAAAAACGACAAACCCGACAAACCTGTGGGATCATGATCTTCTGGGACCATGATTTTTGGGTCCATATATAACACGTGGCACCTCAGGTGGCAAGAATGGGACCTGAATGCCTCTGATAGCCTTAGTCTAGCAGACTAGGGTTAAAAGTTGTCCGCCTTCAATTTCGGAAGTATAAGCTTTAAACACCCCACCCCACCCAAAAAAAAAAAAAAAAAAAAAAAAAAAAAGCCCAAAACCCCATTTCCATTCTCCCACGTGTGTCGCAAAAACAGCCACATGCACGTCTGATACAAGCGAGGCCCACGCCACACAGTCCCATCGACCACAACTTGCAACGGCTTAAATTCCAACGGTTATAATAAGGTGATCGTTGGTGAACCAACGATTAATTTTTTTTTTTTTTTTTTTTTCATATCCAAAAAGTTGTGATCAAATGAGATCAAATTTATTGGTAAAAAAATCTAACGATTTAAAATTAAATTCAACAGCTAAAACAATTTAAAAATAATTATATAAATCAAAGACAACCTTGGTACCTACATAATAGGACAATTTATGCATAACAATGGGACATTTAGGCCACCACTTGCAAAGCTCATAAGAAAATTTTCGTATTTTCCAATATAAAATTCGCACTCTCAATAGTGGCTACAAGGTGTAATGGGTAGGTCAACTTTGGTGGATTCAGACTTTTAGGTCGGAAGATTTGGCGATGATAGCGGGTTAGGTCATAGGTTTAGACGCTGTTTCTTGGATATCTCTCCAAAGCTTTTGCGCGGGCTGCAACTTGATTAATAATTAACTTCTTTAGCAAAAGCAAATCACAATTAAGTCTTTAAAACATATTAAGTTGGGCTAATCCCAATTTCTAAGTGTGGGGTTGGATTTGGGCTTTTGACTTCTGAGTGCATGTGAAAGGTTTGCTATTGCTTCTCAACATTGGTCCTGAAGATATATGGATGCTATTGGATTTGTCCATTATTTGTTCCCAATATAATGGATATGGATTAATTAGGGTTAATAAGGCGTAAGCAATACATATGTCGTTTCATTCGTTTGACCGAACAGAAAAACAATGTAGAGACCAACCTGGGGGCAGTGACGGCCGCCAATGTATTGTAAAATAAAGCCGAAGATGGCATGGCACCCAACACTAGGACAATAGAGTATTAATATGGCTCACTCTGTCTCTGGCTGACCAGCCAGCCAGTCAATCCCTCATCACCGGATCAAGTAAACAAATGTTGCGAGAGACTTGTAGTTCAGGTGAATAAAAAAGTATATTTACTTCTGCGTTTGAGATTTTATATTGATTTTTAGTACATAGATATATTCGTCCTTTCATCAAAGTATATATAGATAAAATAAATGAAAATACGTCTATATAAAGTCACAAAGTGCTCAAAGTGTTTTTCATGGCGACAGGTAGATTTGCTTTTTCTTATTCAAAGAAAACAGTCCAACACACCACCTATCAGATTAGACCAAACTAATTTATTAGACCACACCACCGTGCACTATATATCCTGCATGCCACAGCCCATATCTTGCCACCAAATTTGAAATCAAAGTATTTTTCTATTAGCAAAAGAAATATTAGTATGGAGGGGAAGAGAGGACCAGAGAAGAATAACCAGCAGAAAGAACCGAAGGCACGAGATCAAAACCGATATAGAGGGATTCGGAAGCGGCCATGGGGTAAGTTTGCGGCTGAAATTCGTGACCCTTCGAGAAATGGAGTACGGCTATGGCTAGGCACATTTGAGACAGCTGAGGAGGCAGCAAGGGCTTATGACCGAGCTGCTTTCGGCTTTCGGGGCCATTTAGCCATACTCAACTTTCCAAATGAGTACCAATACCACAACCCTTCAAGCTCCTTGAGCACTTTATATTCGTCTTCATCTTCTGCTTCTTCATCTTCGTTTTCAAATGTTGATCCTGGAAAGAGTATTAATTTTGGAAGAGGCCAAGAAGAAGACAAAGTTATTGAGTTTGAGTATCTGGACAACAATGTCTTGGAGGAGCTTCTTGATACAAAAGAAGATCATCATAGGCAGGGGCAACCAACACATAATGGAAAAAAATTCACTGATATTTAGCTTTTGTTTGTTTGATTTTTTCTATTTTACTCTTTACCCCCAAAAAATTGGAAATAAGGGGTACATTTAATTTGCCTCATCTGAAGAAGTTCCTTTGTTCAATAGTCTCAAAGTGTTACTGTTGATTATTATTATTTTTTTTTTCCCAAAGAAATTATTTGATTGATTTAATTCGGAGTGCATGTAAAGAGGACATATTGAATGATTTTAAGAGGATTATATTGCCAAACTAATGCGCTACCCAATTGATAAAGCGGGGATTTTGCTAACCGATACAGAACCGCATTGCAAAGACAGGACTGGGAACCCAATTGTTACTATTGTCACGCCTCGATCCTGACATACGTTCAAGATCGACACTTGATGTCATCCAATTACTCGTATATCTCACATACCCCGTCTCAGGAATATGGTGAATCACAATTCAAGAATCAAATTGCAAAGAAAATTTTCATTTACCTTATGACTGCATCTAACCTCCTCGTTAGACTGCCTACGTACCCTCAAATAGGGATCAAGTCATTCGTAGTTCATTTATCACAAAATCAGACGTTTATTCCACTAAGGTCAAGCAAAAAAGCATAGTATTCCCCAATCATTCAATATAACCTGACAACATGTAATTCCTGGACTCAGGCTACATAACCAATCCCCATGAAAACATGATTTCTCACCCATCCAACATATAAATCATTATGTCTCATCGTGATATTGCAATTCGCAACATCATATTTAAGAGCCGACGAAACACAAAACCATTCTCTAGCCGCATTAATTAATTAATTTGATCAAAGTAATAACAATCATTCCCATATCTTCTAAATTCAAACCTTATGAAATCATAATCGAATTATAGAAAATCCCCAAGGAGTCACTCAGACGTCCAACATCTTTTCTACTCAATTCACAAAACTCTCGAAACCATTGACACAAATATATATATATATATATAAACTAAGACTAGAGTGACACAGTTAGGTCAAACCTAATTCTCCAAATAATGGGATTTTAGGCCACTCCACGAAATTCAACAACCTCGGATTCCAGACCACTCAATGGAACCAAACAAAATATGATCGCCTATAAAATGTACAAAGTACAACCCATCATCATCACCTCTAGAATGCGTATGGTCCCCCATCGCAGATATACCAAGCAGGACCATAGGCATAAACTCATCGTGCAGGCAGTGATCACGCGGATATACCAAGCATGATCATCCCTGAATACATATGGTCCCTCATCGCGGATATACCAAGCAGGACCATAGGCATAAACTCATCGTGCAGGCAGTGATCACGCGGATATACCAAGCATGATCACCCCTGAATACATATGGTCCCTCATCGCGGATATACCAAGCAGGACCATCCATGTACCACAACTACGCGGTGCAATCTCATCATCACACATTAAACATAATTATACACATACATGCTATCAATTCCACATATCAACCATCATCTAGTCAGATGGAGCACCACACAAGGAATTCCCTTAATTACTATTTCTACTAAAATTCTTATAAAATACCTAACTCATCTCTTGACTTCCATCTCCATCTCATGCTAGATAGTAATGCCAAGTTCAAATAGGTATTCAGTTGGCAATCATATCCAAATAATTATCAAACAATATTTAAATCTCATAATTGTCATAACATTCATCATTATTATCAATCACATTATTAAAAAGCTAATCAAACACATATATATCACAAACATCATCAATACACAAGCCAAATCATAGTTAATTAGCATAGGTCTATGGCTAAATATACAAAATTCACATTTCAATATAAATCATAATTATAAGACCAATTCATACTCACAAATGATGCTCATATAAGAAATTAAGATAATAATCATATTTCATATATTCAACTCGCTATCTAACCAATATAGACCCACTAGATTTTCACTAGTAATTCTCTAAGATCCGTAAACAATATCTACAATAGCATACTAAAATTTGGTGTCAATTCAATGGTAAAATTGTCAATTGTTAGAATATTCAAGTGGCGGACTTTACCGAAAATATACTCATCCAACAACATTTCATAAATCGAATGTTACGCATTGAAAATTTTGACTTTTTCCAAAAATTTTCAAATTTTACAAGAATGAAGATCTCAACAAGTAGAGTAAACTTTATACCTGCGGCCAAGACCAATTTGGCAGGAAAACACCTCAAACTGGCCACGAACCGCCGAAAACCCTAAGGTGGGTGTTCTTCAATTCGACTTCCTCGGTGTTCCAACGCCCCTACAACTTGTTAGGTCAAGTTCCTGGGTCCAAGGGAAGTTGATTAAGGTTGATGGTGAATGGTGATACTCTCCGGAACGACAATTTGTCGTCGAGAACCCCCGATTTCTCCCGTGCAGTTCTACCCAAATTAGGCCTTAAAACCCTTGACTTTTGGTGGAGATAGAAGATGGAAGGTGATGGAAGATGTGGTAGGTGTGGGATGGTTGAAGATTACCTGAAAATATGGTGAAAGATGGCTGAGTTTGGACCTGCTGAAGATGTGGTGTTGTGGTGCCCAGTTAGCCGAATGGAAATAAATCCCTCCATCTAATTTTTTTGCCCATTTCCACTTATAATGGCCGGTCATTTCATCCCAAAAAGTGTTTGGGCCTTTTTACTCCTAAGTGGAAATTAAAATAATTCCCACAATTTATAGTTTAACAACTTCAAACGTCAATAATTATACCGTTATAATTCGAACTCGCAAACGGTTTTTGCCTATGCACTCGTGGCTTCGAGACCTATTCAAAAATGTTACTTGTGACCTCAAAAGGTCAACGAGTAAATAATAATTTTCCAAACTTCACTCTTCGTAACTAGTTTAATTGAAATCTAATTTCAAATAAATTAATATAAATTCTCAAAAAATAATATAAAATCTCAATAATACAAATATGTAGATCATAACAGTGAAATCCGAGAACGGAATTTCACAACTATGATCTATTATCCCAACAAATTTTCATCTTGTTTAACTCATTTAACTTAAAATTGTAGAAAAATGTTGAAGCGATTATATTTTTGTACCACTTTAGTTTATCAGTTGATGATGTAAATGATATGTAGTTATTGCTACGTCAGTTAATGAATTTATGTCATTAAATATTATTTGTATGCATCACTTACCTCGTGAGATGGTATACTAATGTAATCTCCCTAGCAAGCTAAAAATTTTAATATTAAATTACTTATATGTCATAATATGAAAGGCTTTTTAGCCAAAATGATTTTTTTTTTCAACAAACGATATTATCTACACTAAAGGAAGAGGTGGGTTTAGCCAAAATGGTGCTTGAGATTGACACAATTCCTCACTTTGGTCTTTGAGATTTAAAATCGATAAAAGTGATCCCTGTAATTATCTACCATCAATCATTTTGACATTTTATGAAAAATCTCTATTACATTGAAGAAACCAAAAGTTCAAGATGATGTTTGATTTGACAAAAATACTCTCAATTTGACTCATGGGCATAATAGGAAGCTTAATGATTTTATTAATTTGCGTAATCTTGCAGTTCTCAATGAGCTCAACTTTTAATGAGTACTTGAAGTCTACTCATTACTTTACAATTAGTGATGTTTTATTGTAATGTTTTTATATCTAGTTTGCAAAGAACCTTTTGGGGTCGAGTTCTTCATAATCTATATGTATTCGTAATGCCTTTTTCCAATGAATGAAATATTGCATTCTACTTCAAAAAAATAAAAAAATAAAAAATAAAAAATAACAAATACTTTATTATTAGGGAGACTTTGAATGTGGTCCCTAGCCACCAGTCTTTTTTAACTGAAATCTTATAGTTATTAGTTTTTTTTTTTTTAATCAAAATCTCTATTAGAGATGTGATATAAATATGGTAAGTGTAGCATTACTTGTAAATACTAAGTATGATAAAGATGTTCTAAGTCCTAACATAAAAACCTTCATATGCTTTTTTATTAGGGTAATGCTAGGGATACCATATATACCATATTGGGGTACGGTCACATGTGGCAAATGATGAATACCATCAATATTCAATGAGATAAATTCATTAATTGACGTGACATGTACACATCACTTGTCACATCAGATGACACACAAATATGGTATAAACCACGGTCTCCTTAATTTCCATTTATTTATTATTTTTTATACAATGAAATATTTACACTAACATGTGGGAAATAAATAATCAAATTCGTCATTTAAAAGATTCAAGTTTAAGATTTTTCACTTACAAGTGAAAAAAATATGATTATACCTTAGTACTAAGTGACTCTACTATTTTAATTGCTAAATTAGGAAAAAAAGTCCCGACTATTGATTAATAATATTTATGGCATTAAATCTTCAAATATGGTTTAGTCACTGGTTTAGGTTTGACTTCTGCTTGTGACGACCAGTTTGTTATTGTTGTCCTTTTTTAAAAACCTACTTCTGGTGTGCTTTTTTTTGAAACCTACTTCTGCTGTGCTTTAAGAATAATCAGTTGCAAATTAAAATTGTTGATTGTTTGATAAATTGTATTTTTAAAAGTATTGTGAGTATGAAAAGAAGTGTGAAAGTGTTTGGTAAGTTTTAATGTAAAAATGATATAATTGTATGTATACTGCTAAAACTGGACATGCATGATAGTGTGGGTGATGATAACGACAACAGTTGTGAGGAAAATGGTTGTGCTGGTGGTGGTGGTGGTGGCAACAATGATTGTGGCAGTTGTGTTGGTAATGGTGGCTAGTATAGTTGTGGTGATGGTTGTAAAGGAGGTGGTAGTGGTGACAAAAATGGTGGTAGTAATGACAATGGTGACAACAATGGTGGTGGTAATGGTAATGGTGGTCACTGTGTTATCTAAGGATAACATGTGTCTACAAGGATAAATATGTTATTTTCAAAAATTAATGAGTGTATTATAGGAATTAAAAATATTCATTACAAGCTCAAGTCTGCTTTTTATTAAAACAGTTTTTAAAAGCAACCTTACTGTCTGGAGGTCATTGCTTTTAAAATAAACAAAATATTTTATTTTTATCAAATATTTTTTTACTGCTTTACTTTAAAATGAAGTATCTTTGGATAAAAGGAAGCAATACCCAACCGGACCTGTGTTCCATTGTGCAGCTTTGCCGAATAAACTCTACCTATTAGTGTAAAACAACGTTGTAAAAAAAAAAATGTTGGATTAAGACAAAAAATAAAGCATTATAACAGTTGGTTTAGTAGATTGACAACGCATGCCATCTTCATAGTACTCACATGGGAGCAGTCGACGCCAGTGTTTTATTATATCATTCATCTAAACGACTCAAATCCCACACCGTTGGCGGAACAAAGAAACACAGGGGCTGCATTTGGCACTGTTTATGGAACAACTGAAAGCACATCGTAATAACAAGAAACATTCATAATACTTAGTCCAAATGGCACTGAAAAGTTAAGAGCGTGGAACAATTTGGAAGCTTAAAATTACAGAACCAGAATAAGAAAGAATGCTACTTAATTTGTTTTTCTTCACTTACTTTTGCTATTATTCTCAAAATCAAGAAGGTCCTCTAAAACACTATCATCTAAACACTCAAACTCGAAGATTTCTCTTCCGAATTCGGTCCTACTCGCATTATGGATTCTCGAAGATGATGGAAAAGAAGATGAAGACGAAGAAGATGATGAGGAAGTAGTAGCAGCAGAGTGACCTGCATCTTTCAAACCATATTCACTTGGAAAATTGAGAATTGCAAGAGCACCCCTCATGGAAAAAGCAGCTCTATCATAAGCCCTTGCAGCTTCTTCAGCAGTGTTGAAGGTGCCAAGCCACAACCGACCTCCCTGCCTTGTCAAATCGCGTGTTTCGGCTGCGAATTTCCCCCACGGTCTTGTTCTCACACCTCTATACCTCACATCTCTCTGTCCCTCTTCTTTAGCTTTGCCTTTGCTTTGGCCTCTTTCCATGGCCTAGTAAAGTGAAACTATTGAATCCTCACTCTTGAATTTATATATACTGGTTTTGGACAGGTGCCTAATTGGGTATATGTAGAAGTTGACAAATCACACCAAGATGGCCATTTGATAAAGATTGTTTATTGGGTGCAAAGTATTATGACTACATGAATAGAAGATCAAGGTCCATGATGGCTTTCAAGGAGGGGTCAATTTTGAGTGTATCTGACAGGACTTTTTCTTGAAGTTTAATTCCCAATTTCAGAAAGGGTAGTGGCGTCATTTAGATTACATGATTTCTTCAATAGGGTAGAAAAAAACATGTGGGTTTTGGCTAACTAGACTGTATAATCATAACAAGGGGTTTGCAAATTTATGGGGCTTGGCTTAGCCCCCAAGTATCCACCTTAACCCTAACTAGACCATTATAAATAGAGGTCTTAGGGAGTGGGTTATGAGCATCCTCACAGCAGCCATAGCCTAAATTTCTCCGTGGAAATTCCTCCTCACTCACAAATCTCTGCCAAATACTCGGTTCACCAAGATGGAGGCAGAGACTAAAGAGGAAACTCTTTAGAAGCAATTCTAGGTAGCTAACTCACCGCCCTACGTCCCAAACCTGTACACAAAAGCCCTAACTCATGTGTATCCGTGGTTCCTCACTCGAGACGGTTGTACGTAAGAACAAAACAATTGTTCGACTCGAGTTATTGTGCTAGATATAATTCCTAAACTTGAATATTTATATATGTTGCACGTTCATATATAAGTAATAGGGGATGAGCAAAAATGGACTCTTGTCACTGGCTTCCTCCTATATATTGAAACGCCTATCGATTCCGTTGAATGAATCCCTCTTGAACTTTCCCTTTGTTTATTTCTATAGGCATTGAGCACGCATGTATAACTTCTAGTAAAATATCAATTTTTGATGTATTATTAGCTTTATTAACATACAATTTTTAGGTACTTCGGAGTACTGAATACTCTGCATGCTTTAACCATTGGATCTTGATTTTTATATTTTTAAACAAAGATCTAATAGTTAAAATGCCCAAGTAACCGGTACTCAAGAGTACGCAAGGCCGGTCTTGAGAATTTGGGAGCCACAGAGTTTTCAAAATGGGGCCCTAATATTCTCTGATTTCCGGTTCTTTGTAGATTGATATGTATAAAAAAATTCGCTAAATACATAAATATTCTATTTCCACATCCAATATCAATAAAAATTAATATAAAAAGAGAATAAATATACAAACATTACTTAAACATTAAATGGCTCATGTTTTTAGACTCAAATGTACTAAATATTTGTAGTCAAGAGTTTAAGATTGAGAGTGAAGAACAATAAAACTTGATGATCAAGGGAGTAAAGAACAATAAAACTTGATTGATGAGTATAATAAATTCAACAACGTCAATTGTTTCTCTTGTGCTTTTTTTTGTAAATCAACATCACACTAACGAATTGAATACTAAAACAATCCAATGAATAAAAAATTATTGAAAAGAAAAATATAAATTCAAGGTTTTGATTACCTTCAAGTACAATCTTCAAGATCATGTGATAGTTAGTTTAAAAATTCAATAGAAATGGCGAGATTGGGAAGTTGAAAGAAAAAAAGATTGCAAAGGGACTTGAGTTTTATAACTTATATGCATTTGGACAGATGGATTGGGAGTTGGATAGATGGATTGGCAGTACATTTGAAAACAAGAAAAATTTAGTGAACAAAAAAGGCATCTCTGTGTTTTGAACTCAACACTCCAAAGAAAAAGAAAGCCGAATATTTCCACTGCACCAACAAATGAATTATGATATCTCTTACTTTTTTTTTGTATTTATATGTTATTTACAGGATATAAAAAAATTTTGGAGACCCCTTCGAAGTGGGGGCCCTAAACGGGCGCCTACTTGGGCTACCCTCAGGACCGGCCATGAGAGTTCCCAAGAAAGTCTCTTATTAAATTAGGAACAAATAGACCAGTGTAATGTATATATGTTCAAGGAGGTTGAGTTGGGACTGATGAAACTACATAAAAATGTGTTAGATTTGTTGCCAAACTGAGGCTATTTGGCTTGCATTGCTGTTACAGATCATAGGATAATTGTCTCAATTCGAACTTTCAATGCTTCATAGTATTCACAAATTAGATTACCATGGAATGATATAACGTTACCCTCGTACCCGCGAAGTTTTCAATTGGTTGCTTCAACAGTAATAATGAGTGGTAATAATTAAAAAACAGTATAAAATTGTATTAGCTCGTAATATGAAAATCTCATGAACTTATTTTAATGATATGTAACGCATATGAATACTGGTAGCACAATTATTTTTCATAAAATTTATAGTGGCATAGGTTTTTTGCACGTAGTTTGAGTGATGAGCGTTAGTTTAGGGACGAGCGGCAGGACGAGGACAAGGCCTCCCGCAGATGCACTGCAAGGCTGCAACATGATGCATCGGTAGTCAATACCACCAGCTTTATGGCATGAGTCTGCGCATTTTCCACGATGGAGGCAAAAGTACCCGTTCCACCACCACCAAGTCTTAGCTTCACCATGCTTCACTGTCTCTTCTGCACATATGAAAATTTTATATAGATGTTATTAGAATACTTAATGAATTGAGTTCTCAAGTTTACTTTGCTAGGTATTGAGCTAATTATCTAGCAGATTAAGAATATTAACCGTGCGCATTAAAAAAAAAAAAAAAAATCACTAATAGTCACTAATATCAGCGGCACGTGATGTGGTTGCTATAGTTTCTAGCCACTTAGAATCATATTTGCTAATTATTAGCGATTGATATGTACTGGGAGGGACTTAGGAGAAGTTACAAGGATAACGAACAGCAAGGCAAGAACAAAAGATTTTCTCCCCGCCATGCTTTCTCTTCATTTTTCCAATGGCCTTGTAGCTACAACTCTCTCTCAACAGTACTCGATCACTCGCATTAATGGCTTTGTCCACATCCCAGTGCCTTCTTATATAGCGTGGATTTGAGGGCTTGTAAGGGACAAAAAAGTCATCTTGCGCGCTTACATACAAAGTTAGTTTACAGTGGCTTTCACTAATTAGTTTCAGCACCAGACTGGTCCAGTGCTCAAATTTATTTGGCTAAACTTGTCTTATTTGTCCTTAATCACTTTGTGTGTGAATAATTTCATTTTTTTTTTGTTTTTGATTAAGGAGCGTGATTAGTTATGAGACAATGATGATGGGATCTCTTAATAAGGACATATTTTTCTTAATATTACATAATTACCATTTTATCCTCTTTATGTAAATATTGTGTATCAAAAGTAAGGGTAAAATAGGAAAAATGGGGATGTTGTCATTTTCTCAATAGATAATTCTTATATAAATATTGTATATCAAAAATGAGAACAAACTTGAAAAAAAATAGTGGCAAAATTTTGACAAGAAAGATTCTCTTAATAGAATAGATAGATTCTCTTAATAAAATAGATAGATTCATTATACACTTCATCTGCGTCGGACTTCCTTTTACTTTATTCAATCTCCATCAAATTTGAGGCTTATGGAAAAACTAGATAAGGATTCCATCGACACACAGTGGCTGACTAATCTTCAACCTTCGAATGAATTTTTTATCCTTTTACACAGAGGCTATTTGGAATTTAAGACAAACTTTTTTATTTTTGTTTAACTTCAATGAGAAAGAGTAGACGAGATTAGCCCTTCAACAATGATCATGTGTAAAACAACTATTTTCCCCTATAGAATTGAGGACCATTACACCCAAAAATCCCCTGCTCGTCCCTCCTCCACCATTTTGGACACACTTATATGGGTCTCACATCCAATCATAGAACCCAATCTCTTTTAGAGACGCTGTTACAATAAGTTTCTTTTCCATGTCCAAATAATACTATAATTTACAAATTTGTCGGGTCTGACTAAATTGACAAATTTTGACCAAATACCCAAGGAAAGTTAACAAACTTTGGCTAAATGTGTGGTTTCCTGGCCAGTCTAATTCAACTATGCATCGCTTAAAATCACTGTTCTAAAAATCCTCGCATAGCGCTGCCTAGGCCTCGTCTAGGCGCTAGATAGCTGACCACCGTCCCAATTAATGCCTAGGCATTTAAAAATTAAGAAAGAGTGTCTAGACCTACTGAGACACCCGCCTAGACCATCTAGGCACCCGCCTAACCCAGCCAGATCTACCTAAGCACCCACCTAGGTTGCGACTCACTTAAACAGAAAATAGATAACTTTCATTTTGTATTTATTATTTTAATAAATTGTAAGAGACTTGTTGAATACTTAAATGAACGTACATTATATGCTTGTTCTCCATGTTTTCATTATGTTCTGTCATTCTAGTTTGTAATTTATGATAAAATTATATATATTTTAAATATAAACAAACACTTATTTACATGAAATATAATAGATTTACTTAAATCCTCCTAGCCGCCTAGGCACTAGGCCCCACCCCGCCGCCTGACTAGCGTCTAGCGTCTTTTAGAACTTTACTTAAAATTATGGAAATGTACACTTTACACCTTTCATATTTGATATTTCAATGGTATCTCCCTATAGTTGAAAAATTGCAAAATACACAGTCAAAGTTACAAATTTTTATGACATTAATCCTTCCGTTAAGTTAACCTTTGTAAAGACCAAATCAAATCCAGTGAGGGAATATCTGGTGTTTCAACAAAGATGTATGGTACTACGGTCTGGTGGTATTCTTTTTCACTTGTAAGTGAGATGTCTTAGGTTTGATTCTCGTCAAAAGTGAATTGGAACGACATTATGTTAGCCCATTGTGAGGAGCTAAGCCCACACCCTGCCTTTTAGTGTAGATAATATCATAAGTTAAAAAAAAAATTAACAAAAAACCAAAAAACAAAGATGTATGGTAGAAATCAAAGTAAGAAAGAGATTTCCGTGCACCCGAAAGTTAAACCATGTATCATAAGATTATTAGCCAAAGATGCTGCCATGGCAGCGCAAGGGGTGATAAACAAGATCATTGCCTTTTTCATTAGGACAATGCTTCTCTTTGCTAACACTCTCTCCTCCTCCATGTCAAAGTTTGAATGTATTCTGGATGATTTGCATTCAGTTATGATAGTGGATCATCAATTATTGGAATGCATTCAGGAAATTACATTTGCAGTATGTGTAGGAGTTTGAGACCTTCTTGTCCCACATTGGGCAACATTATTTTTTCACTAGCCTTTATATAGGCTTATTCCTTCTTCTTAGTAATTAGAACTTAGACCATTTGGAAATAGATTGAAGGCTTGGACCTTATGGTTATATGGATTAGGCTTGAATATAATATAGCCTAAATACAATTAATATTAATTAATCAAGACAAAGGTTTGCGCCTTGGAATTTAAAATTAATCAGATTCATTAATTTTAATTTTCGGGTTAAGTTTTTTAATTAATGAAAAACCTTTTGATTAAAAGACACAGCTATTAGAAAGAGTTGTGTACTTTCAAATACACTGAACATGTATTTGAAAGGGTGTGAAACAACCTATATATTTGCAATCACAGTATCTAAGTGATATCATCTTTTCTTCCTCTTTTTCTTCCGTAGAAATTTTCAAAGAGTAAGCACACAAAGCAAAGTCGCTAGAATTCTAGAATCCAATGGGGGTTGTAGAATTAGGTAGTTAAACCTTGGTCGAGCAGACGTTGTAGAACTACAAGCACAAGAGTGGGACGAAAATACTATTCCAAGGACATAGCATTTACGCTAGTCTCTACCTTCTGTGATCAAGTTAGTATCATTGATATTCTTATATTTGTTTCTGTATTTATTGTATAATTTCATTCTATACATCAAGTATTTTTGGTTAATAAAATATTAAAATTTCAAGTTCTGTTTATTTTTGTTATTTTTTATTTATTTCTGAATTGTTCTCAAACAATATGTACTTTATTATATACTTGCAAGCTAACGGTCACAAAAGATTACACTTGCAAAAAGTGAACTCCTGGAAAGAGGTAAAAGCACACTGCCCTAGTGAAAGACATTAATTTAAGATAATGTCACAACAACGATAGTCTAGAACTTAATCATTTAGTTCCCGTAATATAGTTTGAATTTAATAAGGAAAAATAGGGAAAGATTGGCTGTGTGTTTATCGAGTACGGAGGCAATGTGTATCGAGTAGGACTTTTTCTTCTGATCACTAAACCATGCATTGACGAGATCATCATTCTAGTATTTTAGTTTCCTAACGGAAGATACTAACAGCGGGATATATATATATATATATATATATATGTATGTATATATGTATATATATATATATGTATATATGTATATATGTATATATATATATGTATATATGTATATATATATATATGTATACCGAGTTGTATGGTAAAATATCTCGTAGCTTGGTTATCATTCATAAACAAGACCATAAATGATATCCATGAGCCACGTTCGTTATAGCGAATGTGCTCTCCTTGATAGATCAGTTTACGGACGAATGTCGTGTGTGAAAAAAATCATGACGGTTCCAAATTATGGAGGGTAACAAATTCAGAAAAACATCGTTGTAAGAAATTAAGCATGATGATTGCTTTATTATAATCTCATATCACATCATAAATTAATAAAGTGATTTCAGCATTCATTTTATTTTCTGTACACAACCATTTATTTCTAACTTCGGTATTCAACAGATCAAAAGACAATTAAGACACAAGTAAACATAGTATGAAAAATGTGTGAAAATCATTTTTCTTGAATTATTCGCGAGATACTTTTCAAAATTTTATTTATTTTTCTTTGAACGAAAAAAGATGGGCCAAAAAAAAAATTTGCAAGACATCTAACAAACAAGTTGGGTAACCTGTAATGCATCGAGACGAGCTGAAGAAGACGATTAACAGAACTCCAGTAGAGTGTAGCCACTCGATTGCACAAGGACCAATTGGCAATTTTCCCATACCTTCCAATAATTAAGACAAACGACTTTGTGGTCAGTCCCTCGATGGGGCTTTCTTGGATATTCATGTGGTATTTTAATCATAAAATATTTGTATAAAAATATAAAAATTAAGATCTAACGGTTAAAATATTTAGAGTATCAGATGCTCTTGAGGATCCAATAATTTTTTATCCCCCAAGTATTGGGAATGCATGGAGTGCTTTTGATTGTTTCAGTGCTTATGGCTGACAATTCTGACAACATCTCGCTTACGAGTAGAAGTGTTTTACTGAAAAATAATATTTAATTTTCTTAAATGCTTAAATTTACTTAATGTCCACATATATTTTTCAATAATTAAGTAGGATTTTGAAGGGAATGATGAGTGGGCATCGAATTTGAGTGGGAGGGAATAAACTAAGCCCCTTCAGTGCCAACACATATTTAAACATTGAATTTTTTTTATCGAACTTAAATTGAATAATCAAGAACTGTTGAATCAAATATAACCGTCAAAAATATGTTGAGGCTAAAAAACAAACACAATTTCGGGTTAGTTTGGGATTGCTGTGCTTTTTTAATAAATTGTTGTGCTTTAATAATAATCAATTACAAAATAAAGCAGTTGAGCGTATGATAAACTGTATTTTTAAAAATGTTCTGAGTATGAAAGGCAGTGTAAATACAATGTTTAGAAGAATAAATAATGTCATTGTTTAAAATTAATAAGCTTATTACATGAATTAAAAATATTCTAAAGACTCAACTCTGTTTTTTATTAAAACAACTTTTAAAGGCAACCTACATGCTGCTTTTAAAAATTGTTGTCTGGAAATCATTCCTTTTAGAATAGGAAATCTTAATGAAACAATTTCGGTATTGTTCACTTTTAACATTAAAAAAATTTTTACCTTGAAAAGTCACTCCTGATACTACTCATTTACATCTTTATTTTGTCTTTTTGATTAAAAACTAAAGTTTTTTTAGAATTTTTCATTAGTTTTCCTTTTAAAATAAGCAGTATATTTTATTTTACTAAACATTTTTTTACTATTTAATTTTAAAGTGAAACGGTTTTTGGTAAAAAAAAATAAATAAATAAACCGATGTCTTTGGTGCTTACACGTGTGGTTCCCAAAAACAAAGTTCACACGAGTGTTCGTTTGTGTTTTTCGCAGCTGCTTGCTCTGTGTGATTTATCGGAAATGGCGGTTAGCTAAACCGTGAAAGCTTTGGAGTTGGCTCCCAAATTTTTGGTGGCAAACAAAAAAATGAAATCTGTTCATTTCTCAATCCACTCGGCCCCAATTTTTTCCTTCAACCCTAACAATCTCACTTCATCTTCTTCTTCTTCTCAGATCGCTCTCCTCCGCCCCTGCAAATTCAGCTCCCTTTCTCTCCGCTCCACTTCCAAGCCCTCCCGCTTAATCACGCTCTGCGCTCCCAATTCCGCTAAAGCGACGTCGTCCCGGTCCGAATCGGCTGCAGCGGAGTCCAGCAATGAAGCTTTTATTCAAGCTCTAAACGACACGTCGGAAAGTCAGTGGACTGTGGAGGTCGGAAACCCTAGCGTTCCGAATCCGTCGGTGGCCAGATTGAGCTTGAACGACCAGGCTTTCTTCCTCTTAGCCTTCATCGCGTGCACGGTATGAGCCTCAATTACTGTACTTTGCGTTTGTGTAATTCAATTTGTGAATCTGTTGTGGATGATTGGGATCAATTTGTAATTTTGTTGTGGAAATTGGGATTGATTTGTAAATTCGTTGTGGAAATTGGGACCAATTTGTAAACTTCCTTGACAGAAATGGGAAATGTGAAAGTTCTAGTTTATTTTGCTCATACAATGATGATACGAGTGCATGATTTGATTTCATTGTGCAGACTTCTGTGGCATTTACGAGCCTTGTGATTGCAGCTGTTCCGACGCTATGGGTAAGTTTTCTTTTCCTCGAATTTAATGTCTTTTTTCAGCTTAAAGGTTGCTCAAATTAATATATCAATTCAAAGGAAAGAGCAAACCGTTAATGCTTAGATAATCATTTAAAACTTAGGGAGTTCTGAATTTTCTGTGGAATCTTCATTTTTCATAAAAACCCTGAACCCTGAATCATATTATGTTTATTATATATATGTTTCTACTAGTTATTGGGTCTTTGATGCTTTTGCTAGTGGTTGTCTCCTCCCATTCCTTAGACAATTGTAATTGGTTGGTTTGAAGAGTTTTAGTGCTGTTCAAATGTTATTTGGATGGTCGAAGGATCCATTGTCAACTGCTTGCATGCCGTGGAATGTGTAATAACTTCTTTCATTGCTTTAATCGTCTTGGCCTTTTGAAGTCCTTGTCTTGGTTGCAAAAGAAAATCAGAACTATAATTCTTGATAAATATATTTTTTTCCAAGACAAGCTTGCAGAATTAGGAGCCCTTTTCTTTGTTTAAACTGGATATTGGAGGTCTTGTCCAAATTGTGGTCCCAATTTAGCTGTTTCTGGTATGTTCTGTAGGCAATGGGGAAAGCTGCAATATCTCTTTCAAAGCTGGCGGATACAGCTTGTGAAGAACTCCCTAGTACTATGGCTGCCGTTAGGCTTTCAGGCATGGAAATAAGTGATCTTACGCTGGAACTGAATGATCTAAGGTGATAACTAAATCATTATTTCTGAGTCCCTGATTCATTTTTTTGTCATACACGGTTGCTTTGTAGTCTCTCTTCATAGTTAAACTCATCTCTTTTCTATGAGCTATCCTTTAACTGATAGTTTATAACCCCAAAACGAGTCCATGCATGTATACCCCATCGGCTTACAGTGGGGTTTTTAAGGGGCACAAATTCAGTCTAAGGTGGGTTTCTTTTTTCCTTGGAAAATTATGAGTTATACGCTGGTGTTTAATTCCAGAAATACACTAAACCAGGTTTGATAGGAGGAATTACTTAACAACGCAATTGGTCATCAATGATATCTGTCCAGCCGTCCAGGCTTTGAAATTCAATTTTTGTGTGTTTTATATATGCTCACATCAGATTTTTCTTCAAAATTTTAAATTGGATGATGTATGTCATACTTTGTTTTCCATTCCTGCAGTCAAGAGATAGCTGATGGGGTCAGCAAGTCCACTCAAGCAGTTCAAGCAGCAGAAGCTGGGATTCGGCAGATTGGTACACTTGCACATCAGCAGACAATGTGTATGTTAGAATTCGTCTTTCTGCTTATCTTCTTAATATAGGCTTTTCACTGACTTCTGAACTATTGTTATCAATATTTTGTGATACAGCAATGATACAGGAGAGGGCGAATCTTCCCATCATCTCTTTGCAACCTGCTGTTGTTGGAGCAGCAAAGAAGACCTCTCATGTTGTCGGTCAAGCCACTAGGAACTTGATCAATATCATTTCTCGAAGGGACAACTCTGAGAATGAGGAGGATGCTGGAATCGATAGGTTGGAAATTTGAGTTTGTTGCACTTGGATCAGAACTCTATTTTCACGGATTTTGTGGATATAATACTCGGTACTCCACTAGTTCAAACCCGAAGCCAAATGTCTCAAAACAGTGGTGGAGATGAACAATATATACCAACGTTCGGGAGAATAGCTTATACTGAAATACTGTGCCTGTTGTACACTTGTAGAGAATATGGACCAACCTTAATTATTGTAATTGAAATGCCCCGAAATAAGGGGGTAAGTAGTGAAGATACCATGGTCTCCGAGGAAGGTCCTGAGCTCCCGTTGCAGCGGTTGTCCAAGGTATTGAAGCTGTCAAGTGTCAAAGGAGTGAGGAAGAAGTTTCTAAAGCTCATATTTTCAAATGTAAGATCCCTGTATTATCTTTCCAAACTAGTAAGGTTGGCCGTTAAACGTTGATTGAGTCTCTCATTTAGATAAACGCGAACCTTTTAGTTAAGCGCGACTTTTTGTTGTTGTTGAAGTTAGAACTATAAGGATGATTGGGAAACCGAAATGGAATTATAAGAATTTAGACTTAGAAATTTTAAGGCATTTGGTTAGATTTTCGTACCTTTGATAGAACCGAATCAGTCTCGCATCAAGGAACTAGTAAGAAACACCTTTTGTGATTGTCACATCTCTATGAAATCATCCCAAGATTGTATCCTAAATTTTGGTAACTTTAGCCTTTGTACCAGATTTGTGCCAACCTTTATATTTTGACATGTGTGCAACCATTTAACCCCAAAATATAACGAGAAAAGTTTGTGTGGGGTTTGGTTTGTCATTGGATTTTAGTGAGTGACACTAAACTCCACTCAAAATTTGCCACGTGGCAACTGTTATGTATAATCTTTTATCATGCTTTTATATGTAAAATATTCATAATTATTTTTCCTACTAATTAATATACACCATAAGATCAATCTAATGATTCACTTTTTCTTCATTCCCTACTTTTTTTCTTCCCAAATCTTCCCTCCAATTTATGTTTTTCGGTGAGTCTTCACTTCCTTCTCTCTCCCGGTTATGTTTCTTGCTTTTCTTCAAAAAAATTTATATTCTCCAACTTATATAATGGGAAGCAACCAATAAAATATTCCAGCGCTTTAAACTTGACTACATGAGTGGTTTGACAGTAAAGTTAAGAGAAGTTAGTAATGAAGGAGTCACTAGCTATAAAGCAACCGAAGAAGGTCATAAAAGAGGGAACACAATTGAGTTTATCTCTCTTAGTTCCATGTTTTGATGTAAAATGTTTGAAGCTAAGGGCATATTGTGTCATCTTACTTTCAGGGTATGTGATTCGAGTTTGCACGTTTGTATTTAGAGAGAGGAGAGACAAAGTGAGGGGAAGAAGATGGCAGACAAATTTTGAGAAGATAAATGACAGAGAGGAGAAGAAGAAGAAAAAATGAACCACTTGATTAATTAATAGGAAAAAATAATTATGAGAATTATTATAAAAGAATGATAAAAGATTACATTTAAGACTGCCACATGGTAAGTTTGGATGGAATGTAGTGCCACTCAGCAAAGTCTAGTGACAAGTCAAGCACTACACAAGTTTTTCTCAAATATAACGGTGTTAACATAATAAAATTAAGAAAAAAAACAAAAATTAAAGAGAAAAAAAAAAAACCAAATCTCCCCCAAGACCCCAACTCATCAACCCTCTCTCCTCGTCTCCACAAGCTCTCACTTTACAAATCCAAGGCGTTCTACAAATAGACTGAGTGTCCCACTTCTCATTTTTGCAACCCGTTATCTGACTGAAAATCAAAGGGATTCATTTGCAGAACGCCTTGGATTTGTAGAGTGAGAGCTTGTGGAGGCGAGGAGAGAGGGTCGACGGGTTGGGGCCTTGGGGAGAATTGGTGGTTTTTTTTTTTTTTTCCCTTAGTTTTATTAAGTTAACACTGTTATATTTTGGAGTTAAATGGTTGGGCACGTGTTGAAATATAAGGGGTTGGTACTAAACATTTGAAGGCTGGTATCCGATACCGTTTAATAAAAACAAGGTACCACTGTCATTTAATTTGATCATTGGTAGTGTAATACAATCATGCTAAAAAATAATATCATACCTTTACAATTTGACACAATCCCTTTTTCTATAAGCAGTTGAATAAAAATTAAAACTTGAAGAAAAATAATGTAGTTGACTTGGGATAAAAGAAGTATATATGATTGAGCACAAATATTTGAGAAAGCAAAATGAGCGGTGGGGATATCGACTTGTGATAAATAATTCACATGCATCAAATTGGTTGCAAATAAAATAAATAGAGAATTGAAGGTGGGTGGCTTTTGTTTATGAAGAATACTAATAATAATTTCGTCACGAAATGATGGGATTAGATTATAATATAAGATGATATTAATGTATTATTAGCTGCAAATTGTAAGATATTATGGTTGGTATTATATTGTAGGATGATAATGTATGTTATTCCCTGGATTTTGCCACGTTAGATTTTTTAAATGGGGACTTGTCACGGAAAGAAATTTATGTAATTGTATTTAACAGGGTGAATTAGTACTAGTAGGAGCCTTGCCATTAGTATTATGGTCTAGTGGTATTCCTCTTCATTTCTAAGTGAGAGATTTTAGGTTCAATTCTCGTCAAAGAAGAATTTGAACCACATTATTGCTAGCTTATTGTGAGGCTAAGTCAACGCCCATCCTTCTTATTGTAGATAACGTTGTTTGTTAAAAAAAATAGAGGGAATTAGTACAAGTAGGAGCCTTACGTAAGGTTCATAAACGATGGTAGATACGAATTAGGCCAGCTCGTGAGGGCCATCTACTCTTACCCTCAAGTTTGGTTTTTGCTTTCATAATTCAGAAAGAGTAATTTAGAATATTACTTTAATAAAATAAAAGATTCATGAACGATGAAGGTAGCTCAAACATTCACTCCCAAGCTAGTTGCACAAAGAAAATAGATTAATTAGCATTACATGGGGATTTTTATATACAAGCAGTATATTAAGTTTTAATTAAATTAATATATAAAAAGCTTATTTTTCAACTTCCTTAGTGTAAATAATATCGTTTATTAAAAAAAAATGTAAGATTTGAATATGAGTGCATAGCGAAAAGGGCAATATATTAAGTTTTAATTAAATTAATATATAAAAAGCTTATTTTTCAACTTCCTTAGTGTAAATAATATCATTTATTAAAAAAAAATGTAAGATTTGAATATGAGTGCATAGCGAAAAGGTTTTGGATGTTGTAGCGATGGCGATTGATATTGAAAAACAATTTCAAGTTCCAAGGATATACCAATTAAGAAGAAATGTAATTATGTAATTATGTGTGCTTGGAATAGAGAAAGTATACAACATGTTATTATACAATTGAAGGAAAACTTAAAAAAAAAAAAAAAAAAAAAACCTTATTTTTAATTATAATGACATGTGGTGTATTGTCTCATGTTTTGGACACACTGAAAAATTCTCATCTCATTCTCATTTGGAAAAATGGGTAAGACCATGAAGACCATCTAGTTAAACTATTTTTTGTAAATCATATAATTTTTAATTATTAAATTATTACTTAAATATTGATTATTATACTTATTTTGTATTAATAATACGTCATTGATTTATAAATATAATATAAAATATTAGTCTACCTATCATTGCTTGAAAAAATAGCTTACCTAACTTGTCTATTAGCAAAACTGGAGCTTGAGATAGAAATATAAAAAATTCGTTTTGGGAATTGAGAATCATATGCAAAACCTAAACAGAAAGTATGCCAATCAAACAATATCGAATAAAAGCAAACAAGGTCAACACAAATATCATTGACCTACACATAATTATGTTTGTTTTTTTTTTTTCCAAAGCGATATTAATTTATTAGGTAAAATAATAGTTTCAGTACAAAAGAGAAAGCTAGGGGAAAAAAAAACATTTAGAATAACACGACGAATTAGGCGAAACAATACAGAGGGTGTAGTTAAATTTGGATTTGAGAGAATTTTAAAAGATTTTAAAATCCTAGTGTAGTTAACTAAAGGATTTTTCAAATCTATGTCAATCTAGGTGTAGTCAATGGAGATTTCAATAGTTAGTTTTAAAGTCCATCAAAATCTAGATGTATTCAAAAATTAAATATTTTGTAGAATTTCATTAAGTTGTGGATTTTATGAGATTTGAGAGAAAGAAATATATATAATCAAAACCAAAGATAAATCCTTCCTCACACCTTAGGATTTCAAATCTAGAAACCTCTTTGAACGTTGACTCCTTACTGCCGGCCACTTTGTTTGCTTTATCTTCTTCCATTATTTCTGCAATTTTTTCTTCAATTTTCGTTGTTGGGTCGCATCATTTTTATGCCATTTTTTTCTTCAACTTTTCATTGTTGGTTCGCAACTTTTTTCTTCATATATATTTGCAATTTTTTCATGTTGTTGGGCCCTCATGCTGATTGGTACTGTTTCTGCGGAATTTTCATATTCTGATGGACTGCTTCTAGTTGTAGATGAAGGGTTTCTCTGGATTATGAAGCCTAGGTGTCCAATAGATTGATCAAGAGGAAATTGTGAGAGCATGTCTGCTTCTTAATTATGCTTGTCTTTGTACCATTCATGCATTTGTTTCATTCATAAATATTAGGAACATATAAGAATAGAGTGGGGGAGAAAGTGGGATTGGAAAGGGTGCAGCTATGGATCTTTGAGGAGTTCGGTTTGTATAATAATCTTGCCTTTTTTTTTTTCGGCTCCAAGGGATGTAGCTCCAAAGCATGAACAACTTCATTTGATTAGATTTATGACCTAGATTTATTTATCACCATTGGATTTATATGACAGTTAAGATTCAACGTTACAAAATCTATCAAAATTCATATAAATCTATTACATGAATCTTCTCAAATCTTCCAAAATCATATGGATTTGTAGAAATCTACATAATCCTATGAAATCCATCACTTATCAAAATCTATTAATTTTGAGATTGTGAAATTGCTTCCTAATGAAAAAAAAAAAGAAAAAAAAAGGCAACTTCAGAATGTGAGAACAAAGAGAAATTAAAGGAAATAATAAATCACTAAAACATAAAATAAAAGGTCAAAAGAAGTAGCAACAAATAGTGCCTGAAATTATAATAGATTCATGATTCAATTATTTCCAATGTAATAAAAAAAATAAGTCAATTAAACCTTTTTTTTTTTCCAAAAAGAATAGAGTTTACTAGATTTCATTGATAATGTTTACATAAAAAGAACAACGAAGTTTTATCTTACCAAACATGATCGGCTGTATGAATTCTAAACGATACTTCCTTGGTTTTGCGTCAAGTCTTCTTTTAGCTCCAAATACTCCATGTTTTTTCTTGGAGTCTATTTTCAAGTCTTCCTATGTATTCATCTACCTCTTTTGTCTTTAGCCTCTAT